TCTGTGATTCGTGTAAATCGCCATAGCTTTATTGAAGTAAATGGTCTGAGACTGGTTTACATTAACTGAGAACTGGACCATTGTTTTTCACCATGCTCTGCTAAGTGAAGGCAGGAGCCCCTTCATAGGTTACTGAATGTCTAAGACCCATATCTGTAACTGACCCCAAGAGCTCACCTTCCTTAAAAGAAAATCCCAGCCAACCTGAAATGAATTACTGGTTAACTACTATTAATATGCCATAGAGCTGGAGAGTCGTCTACAACACGGCAAGATCAATAACAGTATTTATCGTGCATCATATTGATCTTCTATGAAAGAGTGGGCCATATTTCACACTGCATACATAGTGCAAAAAAAGTAGCATCGGTTCTCTACAGAAATTAGTAAAGACATAGAGAAGAGCTTGGAGATCCAGATCCAAGGGCATAACTGCATGAAGGGATACTGTTGTCTCAGTGCAAGAGCATTGCTCACACATGGACAGCCCCTTGACAGCCCTTCATTGTAGATTTGGTGTTCCAAAAACAGCGAGAATTTTAAAGGCTCCTTTTTTTAATTTGCTGTTTTAATTTGTGCTCCTTCTTGTACAGGTTCAGTCCCATATTTTTAATTGTGTCATGTTTGCAGCTTGCAAAATGTTAACATTTGTGGCTAGCGGCAGGGGAAAGACCCAGCAGCCCTTCCCAGTCTTCCCATGTAAAGGGTGAAGACAGCCGAGGCGGGAGCCCAGCTCCTGCAGCAACCCTCTTGTTTTAAAGGGCAGGTGGAGGGGCAGAGTGGGAGTCTGACGGCGGAGCAGCAGTTGCCTTGTTGAGAGCTTAATTCTTCTTGAAAATTGCTCCCCTTAGAGCAATGAACCTCAGGGCTGTCCCTCATGTGCAGGTGTTGTAATGCGGCAAGCTCTGAGGCAGGGGAGGACCCTCTCCTTGCCAGCAGAGCCATTCAGCTGTGTTCAATTACATTTGGGAAAAAAAAAAACACAACCCAACAAAACCAACAGCTGAAAGCTGCTTTCTTAACCTTGGTATTCTCTCCTTGCTCATGGAAAACATAGCCTCACTTGAGGAGGGCACCTTGCTGGCTGAGCAACTGGAGGCGAGGCTGCGGGAAGGTTCAGCCTGTAGGCAGGAGTCAGGAATTACAGGTACAGGCCAAAGACCGGCCAGAGGAACCCCAGTTAGTTAAAGTTTAGTTACAGCCATTGGTTCCAATAGGTCTGCCCTATTCTGCAAACAGTGTCCATGCCTGAGGATGCTGCAGCCCAGCAGCAGTGTGTTTGCCCACGAGCTGGCTAGCCAACTTCAGCTGGAGAGAACTGGCGTGGATAGGGCAAAAACTCCCTGGGCATTTGATAAATACGAAATCTTCTCCGGACAGTTCTCCGAGTGCCATGTTTTACCCCTAAGATGGCTTAGGAGGGTTCCTTGGCCTTTAATTCTGCTCCCCCTTGGTGCTTAGCACTTCTTTGAAGGTACCCCATGTAGGTGCTGGGTGCTCTCACCTGCTTTTCTTCCTCGGTTTTCATTGCTCAGGAAAAAGTCAATACTTTAAGGGCTTTCTCTATTATTAGCCAAACTCTTTCCCCTTAATGTATTTACCGTTGTGCATGTTCTATATGTGTTGTATATGTATGATGTATGCGTTAGTAGTAGGAGATGCATGATTCAGCCAGGCTGCCATCGGGGAAGAGCATGGAGCTGGACTGCAGACCTGCCCTTGACCCCGTGCATGCCAGCATTTTGCTGAAGACAGCAAGAACTCAGCTCTCCAGAGGCATCCTTCCCTCAAGCTGGCTGGTTCAAGAGTGTGAGGAGTTTAGAGTAACTCCTGGGATGCTCTGACCTGACATCCGCCCACAGTGTGGATGGCACAGAGCTATGTCTCGTATGAGACGTCTCCCTTCCCCCAGGTGAAGCACTGAATCACCTCCAGATGCTGCAGAAAAAAAGACTTGTCCCTACGCGTGACATCAAAGAAAATCTCATCTCCTAAATTCGGGAGAAAGTGTGAGATGAAGCATGTGCCAGGTTTCTCCTGGTCTTTGCCAGGTGTTGCCATCTTCAGCAGCATGATGTGGCTTGGGATTTAGCAAAAATGAATGCTACGGGCCATCTTTTCAGAGCTGTCACAGGAATCCTAGTTCTGTATGGAGTTGAGTGTGTCTGTCCTTTCAGTCGAAGTTTCCCCTTTCCCATGGCTCCTGCTTTTTCTGCTAATCTGCTGGGGCCCATCCGTGTGGTGCGGCTGTAGCTCAGAAGGTTTGTCAGGGCTGGTGGTGTCTGGGGATTTATGTGTGTGGGTGCATGGGTGGGTGAATCATCAGGTGACTGGCTTGACGTTGAGTCTTAAGAGGGAAGCTGAAAGTACTGTAGGGGCTATTGGGGAGCAGAGGGACAGCAGGAAGAAAGCAGAGGACTGTTCTGGTAGATTCGTAACAGCCCTGAGTGCTCAACCACTGGCAGCTGATATGCAGCTAGGTAACGGAAAACGGGTGAGTCAACCCTTTTACACCTCTGGTGGCAAATGGTGGTAGCCCCAGCTAAAGACAGGAGGTAGAAAGAGAGAAGAAGGGGCAAAAATCATGTTTTTTCTCCTACTTAATGCAGCAGAAGACTGCCACCACTGTCTTCAAGAAGGAGCTGTAGCACTACCAGCCACCTGAACATAATAGAGACATCAAGGATGCTTGTATGATTTTGGGGATGATTGCCTCCAGGTTGCTCTTCTAGTCTAGCCCATCCCATTTTAGGAAGTGTAGTGCATGAGACCTTTGCAGAAGTTGCAGCAAAGCCTGCTACTTTCACCTCTCTTTCCTGTAGCTGCTGACATCTTAGGGTGGCTCACCTTTCCTGTATGGGTAGAAAGAGGCCCCATCTTCCTGGCACTAGTATTCTTAGCAGAAAGCACTATCCCTTCTTAAGATGCACTGCAAGTGGAAAGACACTGCAGAGGTTTCAGAAGAAATTGCACATCTGTGCAGCATAGCATAACCCTGCCAGAAGTTAAGCGGCTGGCTGCCTTGCATATCTCTGTCTCATGTGAAATCTGTATCCCAGCAGGGAACGTTGCAGGATTTTGCTTTCGGCTTCTAATTTTCAGCATGAAAAGCAGAATAATTGGGCCGCAGCATTATTCGGGAGCTCAGTTTGGGGAGGGGAGTCAGGCTCATGCTGTGATTTAACAGAATTGTTGGCTTTTCAGTGCCAGTGGCCTAAGTTCTGATTTTGTCAAGGGCACGGACAAAAGGACTTTGAAGAGAGGCCTGTCCAGAAGCAGAATAATAGCAATATTAAAATTTCATTAAAATATGAAAGCGCAAAAACTGTGGATGGCCTTTTGCGGCATTGCATACTCCTCTGTTCTGTGCACAAATTTGAGGTACTCCCAATGAAAAAGGCCAGCTGGATAGGTTCTTGCTCGCATAGAGCTCAGGGGCAGAAAAATCAGATGCAGGAGGCATAAAATGTTGTGTCTGCTAATAAATGGGTACAGTTCATTGATGTCAACAAAATGTCAGCCAGAGCTGAGTGGAGGCACTGGATAATTTAGTGACCTGTAAGGAGACTAGCTGTGACTGCAGAGAGCTTTCATTACAGCTGACGAAGTGAAACAGAATTGCATTGTAAATGGCAATAATTGGTAAAACCGATCATTTGATCTGGTGTGCAGCTAATACACAGTACAGTGGAAGGTGTTGCCCTGACTCTAAGAGGCTGGTGAATGCCACCATCTTCATTTTGCAGGTGAGTAACCAAGGTGCAGATATACCAAGAGAAAGGCATGAAACAAACTAGGTAACGCCTGTCTGACATCGCTCTTTGAGTTGTTACTTCATACGTGCCTGTTGTCCATGCTGCTTCAACTCCATCCTGATAGCCCTTGGGAGCTCATCAGTGTTCTTTAACCCACATCCTCTTCTCTTCCACCGTGGAGTGAGACAACATCATGGGAAGAGCAGGAGCGTCTTGCAGAAGGGACCATTGTGCTGCAAACGCCCTCAGGGTTGGTGCAGGGCAAAGGGTTACAGGGACACAAGTCAGAACCATGCGGGGTTTACAGTTGCTCCCTTGTTTGGTATGTAAATGTATATTCACTGTGTGGTTAGACTTCCTAAGGCTGTGGCAGTGTTTTGCTGCGTCTGGCTCAGCTGGTTAGCTGGTGCAGTGTGTCAGAGCTTGGCTGTGCAACCTTACCAACAAGCATTGTCCTTTTTCATCCTTGCAAGTATCTCAAGGCACTGGTTAACACTGGAGTGAGGAAAACAGCACTCTAAAACAGCCTCTGAGAAGCGCTCCATCTTCAGGAGTGACAGGGGAGGCAGACCTTTGGGGGGGCAGCCTGCGGGGAGCGCGGCCGGCCTGGAGGCACCCGAGAGTGCAGACAGCAAATTACAAACAGTCCACTCCTCCTCCTTTTCTGCCAGTGCTGCAGAGGCAGGGATTGAGGGTCTCCCTGCTCAGAGTTAGCACCTGAGACACCTTGGCAGATCATGCAATGCTTTCCATACTGCAGCTTCCTCATGCCCTTGTGACTCTTTGCCCCTTCTAGAGGCATGCTCAGAAAGTGTCCTCTCACCGCAGGACAATGGTGTCACCCTGTAGCTAGAGCCTTTCTGCTTGCAAGAGGCTAAGAGAAACTCAGCACACTGTTTTAATTTAATTTAAAAATAATAGCAGGCCACACACTTAGATGGTGTAATTCATCATCAGATCAACTGATGCTGCTTGAGGACTTGGAGCACTGTCTTAACCTGCAGTTGGTTTTGACTCTTGTTTTGCAGCCTGCAGTGTCTATAGGTGGTCTTGAGCTTTGAGCGTACACCCGTCCACTTGAGTTGCCACCAAACCTCCAGCCGTGTTTCCCCTTCAGCTCCCATCTCTTCCTCTTTATTACCTTCAGTCCAGCCTTCAGGAGAAGTAGTAGCTCATCAGAAGGTGAAAGGTAATGGTCTTCGTGGAGCCTCTTGTTTCATAATGGCTTGTTTTCTTCTTTTCCAGAGGGACAGATGCTCATTCAGGACATCCCTTCCGTCCCCAGCAGAGGGCACTTGGAGAGCACGTCTGATTTGGTTGTGGACTCCACCTACTACAGCAGTTTTTACCAGCCGCCCCTGTATCCTTATTGTAACAACCTGTACAACTACTCCCAGTACCAAATGGCAGTGGCCAGTGAGCCTTCCTCAAGTGAGACAGCGAGTATGATTGTAGGGTCGGCCATGAAGAACAATCTTCGAAGCCTCCCAGCGGCATACATGCCAAACCAGTTGGGAAAACAGTGGCAGGTATGATGTTACAGAGGTGTTACGCAGAAGGGTGAGGTGGACAATAAGCTGTTTCTTGGGCCTGGCTCTGACCTCCTGTTTGCTGGTTTCATGGCAGTGCAAAACCAGAATCAGATTCCAGGGTGGGATTAGGACCCGTATTAGGAAAGTTAGCCGAAATGCATGATTATGATGCAGCACAATGGAAGCAATGATACAGGTATAGGTAGGTTGCTGCAAGCACAGATAAAGGGCACCCACTTGATTTTATCTTCTGATTTACATCATGGTAGGCTATGGACTGTTTTCTGGAAAGAGTCCAAACTACCATATGTAGCATCCTGGGAACTTCAGGTGTGATCTCTGAGTGGCTTTGCTCTTTGAGAACCTGTTTCTTTTCACATCCAAGGTGCTGAAGTGACCCAGGAGACCATGCTGTTGTGCAGTGGGTTGGTGGCAGTCAGTTGAATGTGACATGGTGTGTTGCTGATGGTATGTTCTGGTAGTGTCAGCTCCAGGGCTTGCAATTTTGACTTGGGTAGCTTAAGTTACAGGCTGTGCCTAAGTGGTTCGCAACGGAGCTCTGTGTACTTCATTAATTAGGGTATAAAGCCTGCCGAGCCCTCTCATTTTGGGACTTGATAATTTGGCTTCCATCTCAGTACTGGATGGAGGCTGGAAAAAGGGGAAATTTGCCAAGGCGGGGGATTCTTGGCAAAGTAAGTGGAGCCATTTCCGTTACCCTGAGGCTGTTTGGTCTTGGGCTGCAGTGGTGCTTTTCTGTCTGAGATTTAATTCAGGAGGCTGCACTCTCTAAGTCTGCATACGCCTGCATCCCTTGTCCAAGGGCAGGAGATCTCTTCTGTAGAGCTTCAGGAGAGGGCAGCCTGCCTGCTGCAAAGGCTCTATTTTGAAACCACTCAACAACAGAAGATTATATGTCCACCAAAACCTCCTTTCTGAAGAGAACAGATGGGTCATCCTCTTTGCTGACAGAATTCCTCTAGCAAGTCTGGCACAGGGATCAACTCTGAATGGGTGTTTTAACTTCTGGCACCCAGGAGCTGGACCTAAGACCAGGGTGATTACAATTACTGTAGCAGTCCATATCAGCTTCAGTGAGGCTTTCCTATCATTAGACGTTTTTTCATGGGAAGGTCCTTCTGAAAATGTGGGGAGCCCCTGGGGCAACATCTGTCAGGCCCATGAATTTTAAGAGAACTTTCTTCTCCTAGTGTGTTGATAGGCTTCACCACAATCACCTTCAAATACATGGAGGTGCGCCTTTCCAGTAAAGTTAGTTGATAGCATCCTCTCTAACTGCTGAATTTGATCACCAGACCAGGGGCAGAATTAGACAAGGCAAGCTGGGGATAGGATTTTGTGCGTGGCAATGAGGTGAGGTGCTAGTGCTTTTTTAGCTTTTTCATTTTGGTTGATTGGGTTAACCTGGCACATCATAGCAGAGCATTTCGGGTAAAAAATTACTTCTTCAGAAGCTTTTGCAGTACCTAGCTTGTAAGAGCCTACAGCAGAGCTGATGCTTTGAGACACCATCACAACACAGATGAGGGGCAGCAACATTTGTCTTGTGGAAAAAGTGTTCTTGCAGGCTGCTAGTCTCATACTTCACCATTCCTCCGGCCAGTAGAAACTTCTGTGATTTTACTTTCTTGGAAAAAGGAAAGTAAATTACAGGTACTGACTATCCTAGCGCATAGTGTTTGAGGAAGAGATACATGAAGGTATGTTAAAATATGTTAAACCTTGGAGTGAAGATGGTGTCTTCTCGGTTCTGTTGTCATGTACTGTCATTTGAAACTAGACTATGTGTAAGAAGACTTGGCCTAGAGGGTCCATTGTCCCACTGCGTGATTGCCTGTTTCTCATGGGACCTTTGACACCCCTTAAAGAAACAAATAGAGGAGTGTGTTTTCCATGCATTTTTCTCTTGGGGCCCTGCAGAATCTGTAACTAACTTCTGCTTAAGTGCCACTCAGTTTAGTAAGATGCTGAAGAGTTGATTAAGGAAAAAAGAGCTGGTTGTTGTCAGAAAGGACTGTTTTCCTTCCACCAGCAGGCTCCAAGTGCTGGGTGTTCATTCCCACCTTGTGGGATGTATCGCATGGCTCCATTCACCTCCATGTGAATTTAGTGATTCACCTCACCTAAGGTTTTAATTTCTCCCAGCCAAACCTTTTGGGATCTCTCAGTGCTGTTCTGGGGAGATGTCTGTGGAGAGAGACTAGAGGTAATGCTTTCTGCCTGCAGAAGTGACATCTCCTCATCTTCTAAATGGCCTAAAACCAGAACCCACCTCTCCTGTGAAGTAGGGCAGAGTGTAGTTCAAGGTCAATGTCGTGTAACTTACAAGCTGTTTCTCAGAGGCTGATCTGCAAGAAGAATCGTTATTGCTGGAAGAGTTACAAATCGTGGGGTTTGTATACTGTTAGGACAGCGTAACATTGCACAAATAATCATAAAAAGTTTTACAGTGAGAACTAGGCAGGATAATGCTTGATGGCAGTGGGTGCAGTGATGCCAAAATTGTAAAAAAACCTGAAGATGCTTTGTTATAAGTGGAACGAGCTCTCTTCTGCACGTGATATAAACATTGATTCTGCGCATGGAAGGTTACTAGGAAGGGAAGATCGCAGAAATACAGTGTTAAATGGAAAAGGATGAATGAGTTTCTCTGTCAAGCACGGTAAGGAGTTACAGGAGATTTTCAAAGCATGATCCACAAAGAGGGATCAGACCTTGCTTACACCTTCAGGGGGTTTTTCTGGCAATCCTATGCAGGCTGATTCTCTCCAGAGGAAACACATAGCTGTATCTACACAGGGGTTTTTGCTGGACTGCCTGTACTGCCTGGGTTTATTTTTTACATGCACAAGCTTTCTTAACGAGTTTTCCAGTACAAGTGAGTCTGCTCATGTGACTGGTAGTGCTATAACTATTTTGATCAAGGTTTTTGATTTTTTGCTTCTTTACCAAAATGATAGCTGTCCAACGCCTGCTGTGACCAAATCAGGGCAGCTTGCTAAGCTGTGAGCCCACAGGAGGTTTTCTTTGCTGGTGTAAGCCACCCATGTGGCTGGAAGGTATCCCAGCTTAAGCACTGTAGACAAGACCCCTGCCTTTTCCAGGCCCTATTGATGGAGGCTCGCTTGTCCTGGAATAACTGTAACCACACAAGGAGAATTGCATGCTTAAAGTCAGATAACTTCAGGATGCAGACAAGGCCTTGAGCAGCCCAGCTGTCTGCTGTTTCAGAATTTAGGGAGCAAGGGAAAAAAATCAGGGAGGAAACATGTGAGTGTGTGTGGGATGGGATGAGGATTAATGCATCATTGAGCCTTGGCAAATAAACTGAATCACTGAATCTTTAATGTAGATTAATGTCAGATTTCATTAGTCTTTGTTCTTTGCAGAGGCTTGCGTGCTTGAGTGGATGCATAGAGGTGCGGTTTTTTTAGATATTTCTGTGTAGGTTTTGTTCATTTGTTTATAATTATCCCCGAAGCTGTATCCGTCATGATTTGATAAGCATAATGAGGATGATAGTTTTGGTCAGGACCACTTCAGTCATTTTCATTCTGCTGCTTTTGCCAGCTCTAAGGCAGAGAGTCAGGTATGTCTGGTGTTGCACATGAAGAAAAGGCAAGCTTAGGTCGGAGAGGAAATGTAGCAGATGTGGTGGTTACTGTGCATCTCCTTTCAGTCCAGTCCTGTGTGAGCATCTGGACCCTCCCTTGAAGCTCTTGTAATTGTTCATTACAACGGGAATTTATGTGCATTCAATCCAATTAACAGTTAAATGAGTTCACCAATATCAGTACTGCCAGTCAGAGCATGTTGGTATACAGTGGAAGTTGGTGCTTCTGAAACTAGTCTCACTGCGACCCACTTAGGGACAGCGGCTGGAAAATGATGGGGTGATTGCAGTCTTTTCTACCACAACAAAAATAAAACATGGATGGATATGTCTGTATCTAAACAGGTTTAATTCTCCAAGCTGGCAATGAAACTGCTGGTGTGTGATCCAAGCATAGGGATAATCCAGATCCTTGTGGGTTGTGTCCTCCCCAAAAAGTGTTAAAGCTCTTCTGGTTCCTACAACTGTACCATTAAAAATCTTCAAGGTGCAGAGTGTGCCCCCACACCTGGACACCAGTGGCTGAGTTTTGTTTCTTACTCTAGTAACTCCAGGGATCCTGCTTTGGAGAAAGGTTAAGGCTGACCAGGAGGTTTTGGACAAATTTCAGAATTTCATGTAATTCCTGTTTCATGCTCTCTTTTTCTTCTTTTTTTCTTTTTTTTTTTTTTTAAATGCAGCTTGGCAAACCAGTAATCTCACTTCCAAAACCTCAACTTTTTAATTCTTTCCTTAAACCAGTTTAGAGCAAAAACCTGAAATCAGCATTAGTGAAAGTCAGACTGAGAAATTGTAACTCATTTTCTGGTATGGGAATTACATTTGCCATGTGGAAATGAAATATTTAGCGTTGCTGATGTAGGAATCTGGGTATTAAGGATTTATTTAAAAGTAGCAAACATATAAAACTGTCTTTTACTAAATCCAGGGAAGTGTGGCTGTGGTAGGGCAGCGAGCAGTTTGAACTCTTAAGAATAGCTGCTTGCTAGTAAAAAAGATTGCTCTTCTCAACTTCCACAACCTGTTTCTAGTTTCTGGTGTGGTTTTTCCTCCAAAACGCCTTCTTAGTGAAATGTGCAGTCTAACTCTCCACAAATAGGTGTAAAATGTGCAATATTTATATAAATATATACACATCGTGCAAGTCACCTGACACAATCCCAATTTTATATGTAAGCAGTGTATTATATACTGTATTCATAACATACCCTTCACACTACAGATTTATGCTAAAAGTATCCTAATGTTTCTGACAGCTCATGTGTGACATGAATGCAATCCATATTTCTTGGAGGAGCTAATCTAAGCGGTTTATTTTCCGATACTGCTGATAGGGCTATATCTCTAGGTGTCACCGCAGTTGAGATTCTGATGGTAACATATTGTTTATGGGTCACTGCCTTTGTCTAAAAGAATAGGTTGGAACAGAATAGCAAAGGTTAATTAAGTTTGTCTATCAAGAAGGGACAGATATAGATGTCTCTTGTATTTTCTGTGCTAGAATCAAAGTAAGTCAAAGCAGGGTATCATAGACTCGTTTTTTCCTCATGCTGGAAAATATGCTTAGCTGGTTTTAGGAACAAAACAAAGCCACCTTGGGCAGCGCAAGTGCAGCAGTAGTTGTTGCGGGGTCAGCTCATGGGCAGTAGCATTGCAACGTGGGAAAGTAGTGGCAACCCTGGTTTACAGCTGGGGAAATTGAGGCAGGGAGGTGTTAAATAACTTGCCTATGGTCACAGAGCCCACAGGTGACAGAGCAGAGGTTCTTGATGTCTAGATTTCCACTCCGGTGCCCAGTGGCTGCCTTCTTGCCTCATGCCAAAAACCCGACCTGTGAATTCTGTTGTTTGCAGACCATTGTAGATACATAAATGCAACGTGCAATCTCATGCCCCCTAAAGCTGGCTTTATTTTTAAGACCAAGGCGGAAGGAGGAGGCTATGTTAAAACTTCTAACAGTTTCTCTGGTGTTTCCATAATTACTGGTTTTGTTTTAAGGCGTTGTTGGAGAGTCACAGGTGAGACAGAAGGATGGAAAGCCTGGGTGAAGTAATTTGGTAGAGATCACATGGCACGCCAGTGGCAGAGCTGAAGGACAGTACTTTGATCTATTCCGTTGCTCTAAATTTTTTGCAGCATTTGCCGCCCAGAATTAGCATCTGTGACCTCCTCCTCCTTCTGCTTGTCCTTCTTGGGAATAACCTCCATAGACAGAATCAACTGCAAAAGGTGAAGGCGCTGCTAAGAGTAGCGCTGGCTTGCTTGCAGGAGATTGCAGCTGGCAGGTTCTGCAAATAAAAGAGTTAACCAGGGTGATGTTTTGTCTGAAAAATCATCTGCGAAGGGCAGGACCATTTTCTAGTCTCTGAGGCTGGAAGGAGAAGTAAGCCATCACTTATGCCTGCCTTGCCTTTTTTCTGTCTCCAGTCTGGCCACCTCCTCTCTTTGGCTCTTCCTCCATGAAGAAGATGTGTAGAGGTTACAAAGATGCTGCCAGGAGCTTAGAAGGAGGAGCTGGGCTTTACATTGCTCTTCTATGAGCTTTTGAGAAAGCTTTTTCGCAGGGATGGTCTGAACTGATGTGTGAGCATTTTCTTTATGTTTCCCTGGCTTTTGCTACATATTGTGTCACTGTTGGGTACTGCTGTAGGGCTGCACTGACCATTGTGCTCAGTGATGGACAAATCCTGCTTCCAGCTTGCCTGTTTGTGAACGGGCTATAGCTGCCTCTTGATTCCCCATATTGGCTTTACAAGGGAACATGAAAAAATATCCCCTGCATGCATGGTCTTTTAATCAGGTCATCTTTATCTGTTCATGAGTTACAAGCATCCTGCTGTTGCTTGCAGTACATCCTTTAAAAAGTTACTGAGTGTGTGCTGTGTGGTACAATTTAGGGGAACCCATCATGTTGAATAGGCCAAATGTGCTTCTTCAATGATCTGTGTTGCTCACTGAAGTCAGTGAAGTACTTGGTGAATCGGTCCTGCAGCCGGGGCAGGGCACGAGCAATGTGTGGCTGGAAGGGGATGCTCTGTAAGTGAGCAACTCCGGCATTCAACTCAGGAGCTCAGCTTGCTCTCTGCAGAGACCAAGTGCATGCACTTCCCTTCCACAGCACTTCCTCACCTAACACATGCCGCCTTCTTACAGCACGTAGCCTGCGGTGATACAAACCAGAGTGGCTTGTGGGATTGTGCCAGCCCTTGCCTGTTTTGGCCTTGCTGTGGGGCTGGAAGGGGCGAGGGAGGCAAGAGGAGGCACCAGAGGGCCAGGCATCTCTTCCTGTGCTCCCTGCATGACACCAGCATTCCCCCAGGATGGGACCCAGGGAGAGATCCCAGACCTGGCACCTGGCTTGAAGCATTTGGAAGGCTGGACTGCCCTGGGTTAGAAATACCTGTATATTCCAGGGCCTCCCCAGGGCTGTTTTTATCTCCCTTTGTGGCACCCAAAAATGTGCAAGGACTCTCTAGAGCTGCAGGAGTTAATATAGAGAAAATGCCCCTTCTCATGGGGTAGTGATCTCCTAAGCCCCCTTTCTAATGCAGTGCTAAGGTCAAGAATTTTTACGACTGGTTGTTTTTTTATTGTTACTGTAAAATAGGATTGCTAAGCACTATAAAAAGGAAACCTTATGGTTCAGATTTACTGCAGTGTGTATTCTAAACAGTTTAATAAAACAAAACCAAAAGCTTTTAGATTTTCTTCAGCGGTTAATACACAGCATATTCTTTGCAGAGCCAAGGCTCTGGCTGTCGGTCGAACTGTGGTTCATAGACTTGGTGTGGGTAATAAGATTATAAAACATGTCTCTTGCTAGCCAGCTACCACACACTAATAATAATAGTAGTAATAATTCATTGCATCCAGAGATTTTAGGTGAGTTGTTTTTTTAAGAAATGGAGAAAAACCCTAAAAAAAGATTTGAAAGGAAACAGGTCACTGCATCCACTCTACAGGGAGAGGAAACACGCACGTGGTTGTTTCAGTGCCAGGGAGTGATCCCTCCATTTTGTTACAGTAGAAATAATGCTGTCTACTACAGGTAACCTTTTGTCAGTTGTACATCTGCACACATGCACTTGCACAAGGGAGAGGTGGAGATACGAGGACCACAGATGCTGCCCACCGAGGGAGGGAAGACAGTGTGTGCAAAATGGCAGACAGAGAGGAGTTTGCTAACTTTTTTTTTGCGCAGTACTTATAGAGCTGTTGGGCTTTGAGGATGTGCAGATTCAAAATGGCCTTTGGACTGAGCTTTTGGGCAGTTTGTATTGCCAATCCATAATTTCAGGGCAGAGGCAGTCTGGGTTTTGTTGAGGAGCGCAGGTGTCTGTGTCCAAGAGGAGACTGACCTTTTTCAGAACAGCAGAGGGGACGTCGGTGGCTTTTTTGAGTTCAAGCTTCCTTGAGATGACACATCAAATTTTTTTCAGAGCAATTTACTGTCTATCGTGGGTGAAACTTCGGTGCATGTTGAACTTTTTCTGCATGCAGAGAGTGCGGATTGTAGAGAATTCACCTTTTAAGTATTGCTTTAATTTGTAATAGGAAAACACTTTCACAGACTAAAAGCGTGTCCTGCTGATCCCTCAGTACATGTGCAAATATGTGCGGCTGTGCTGCTGCCAGAAGACGGGCAGAGGTGCACTTTGCTTCTGGTAAACAGCCACCACTTTCTATCAGCACTTAATCTCACTGCAAACCTGGCTCCGCATGGAAGGTGGGATGTTGCTTTCTGTCTCAGAGAGCATCAGCAGGATGCTGACTTGGGCCTTGTTATTTCCAGCTAGGCATACTAAAAGCAATACTGAATTATTAAGGGGACCCCTGGAAAACAAGGGGTGACTGCATTCTGGCTGCTTTGCTGGGAAGTGCCGGTGGTTCCTTCTGCCAGGACCAGACCCTGCGGGTCTGCTGGTGTGGGGCAGCCGCCTGGGACAGAAGGCTCACCCCCTGCCTCGGCTGCTCCCCAGGTCTGAGAGGCGCAGCCTGGGAAGGGCTGAGGAGCAGGGAGGGCTCCACATGCAGCTGGCTGGGTCCCAAGGGAACCGCAGTGGAGCAAGCAGAGCTCCTCTAACTGGGGTGAGATGTGGCTGAAACGGCTGTTGAGCACTTCTGCTTGTGAAGGCAATGTCTACTGGTGTAGCTGGACGTGCGTTACTGTTGGCACTGCTACCTTTATACCTGGTACAAAACTCCAATATCTTTTCTCTGACCAGAAGCTTTCCGTCTTACAATCATTCACTGTCCAGCAGACTTAGGGAGACCAGGTAGCGTTACCTTTCCTGTTGAAAATGCCAATCTTGTGAAGTGTTTGGCTGCATTTTTGGGAGCACTGTAGACACATTACATTGTAGGGCTTTGGGACAAAAATAGTAGATGGTGGTTCTCTCATAAAACAAAAGTTTTAAAAAGCATTACTGCTTCTCTGGGGGGATTAGTTTGGGTGATTTCAGGGCACTGGAGTAGGATAGACTTTAATTTCTGAGTGCTGCCAACTTTGCTGCAGGCTATGGGAGGGAGAAGGAGTTGTCTGATGGACACTGTGCTGCCTGGTGTCCAGCTGTGGCTCCACTACAGGCTTCCCATGTAGTCTGTCCATAGCTTGTTTTTTCTGGATAAATCAGGAAAATACTTTTCTGTCTCACTGGGTTGTAAGAAAAGTGATGTGTTTGTGTGTGTGTCACTGCTCAGATGCCATGGAGCATATCCCTTGTGAGTTGGTCGGTAGGAGGTCCCTCTTAGCCACCCCTGGCGGAGCAGTTACCATCAGCCTGAGACGGGTTAATCTCTGGGGAGGTGTAGGGACTGAGTAGATGCTTTACCTCTGACGCCGGCCAGCTACGTGCAGTTGAAGGGGTCTGGAAAGCTTCTCGTGGTGGTGTCTGTGCTGTAAGCAGGGGACTTGCCAGGAAGCTCCTTGCAGCGAAGGGTACTTTGCTTGTGTGCCAGGCACAGCATCACCTGCGATACGATAAACCAGCTCTTGGTTTGCCACTGCTGCTAGGTCACATCCTGTTCCATGCCAGCTCACTGGTGTGGGCACTGGAGTGGTGTGGGCACACCATGAGCCGACGAAAGCGAAAACCCAAGGCCAGCGTGTCAGGATTTTACTTCCCGTCCACCCCGTGTGACCCCCTGCAAAGCCGGGGGGCGGGGGGGCAGTGGGCTGCCTGTGCAGTGCTGGTGCTCAGCATTCACAGGCTGCTGTTGCGTTTCTCTCCCCGGCAGGTGAAGGGCATGGAGGGCCGCCACGCTGTCAGCTCCCAGTACCGCGTGTGCTCCTACTACCCACCCGCTTCCTACCTGGGACAGGGGGTCAGCGCTCCCACGTGCCTCCCCCAAATCCTGACTTCCGAGGACATACCCTCCTACTCGGAGTCGAAAGCAAGAGGTAAGTGCACCCACCGGGGCATCTGGGACCGCCTTGCCTCAGGGCAGGCAGCCAGGAGGTGTGAGTTGCTGCTGGGAAGGCATCCGAAAGTAGGTGTTCACAAGGTGGTGGCTGTTTTCTGGAAGACTTGTAGTGGGGTGGCAGTGTAGGGCTGTTACGGTGCAGTAGTGCATGCTTGTGCTTAACAGTCTCATGGTTCAGCGGTGCAGTTAGTCATACCTTTCTGCTCCTCTGTATGTCTCTGAGTTGTACAAAGAGTTGCTTGCTCACCACCTGGCTCACTCACAGGAGCAAAGAATTATTTTTGCCCCAACCACAGAATTATCTTTCCTCCCTTTTCTTCTCAGAAATGCTGTCCATGGTTTTTTCCACAGGCATCCCACCGAACCTTTACAGTCCTCTTCTTTCTGAACCATGTGCGGGAACTATTGCTGCACCATGTCATGAAGCCCTTTGCAGACTTGCTTCCTTGTTTGCTGCTGTCAAACTCATCACACTGTGTTATTTCATTTAAAACTACTGCAGATAAATTCTTCTTTTCGTATCCAGTGTTTCTTGGCTGTCCTAAGGATTACTATAATCTGCAGTGATTTCCAGAAAAGTGTTGGTGAATTTACCCTGTGGTTTTGACAATTTTTCTTTCACATCCTTGTTCCCTTGCTCCAGTAGCAGGTAGAGTGCAGACACAGGCATTAACGTGGCCCTGCTGGAGTAGACCAACTCCATTCAATGCTGCTTCCCTGTTCCTGGAACAGGGCAGTAACGGATGCTAGGGAAACAAGAAGAGAAACAGAGGAAGAGTAGGGCAATCCTACTGCACATGTCCAAAATCCTCACACTCCTGCAGCATCCAAGGGTGTCCTGAGCAGTTGATTGCCTCTGAACCACCGTTTCAGTTACTAGCAGCAGACCTGCACTCATGAATTGAGCTAACTCTTCCATAAGCTTTTACACTTTCTGTCTCTCTGTAGCGATCAGTGAATTTGGCAGTTTAATTTTGTATGGTCTGGGGGAAGTATTTCTTTTTGTTTACTTTACACCTGCCAAATTTTTATGGTGTTTTGGTTTTTTTAATACAGAGTCACACTACTGGTAACAGCATCCATCCTCATTTACTTCACTGATGCACTCATACATTGACATCAATCTTCTCTTTATACCTGATGGAAGGATGTATGCTGCGTAGGTGCCATAATCGTTTTCAGTTACAGCCCTTCTGTGGCCGATGTCCTGGTGTCTGTTGCATTTGTGTTGTGGTGAAAAATACAGTGGTTATGTCACGACAGGGCCTTATGGACTCAAATGAAGTTTTGGGAGGTGAGATGTGTATAAAGTCACACCTGTGGCTGGTGTAAATCAGCACTGAGCCCTTGAATTCAGCAACTCCAGAATGATTTATGCTGAGGAGGTGGCTGCTCTTTCAGAATGGCTGTTTTCTGAAAGTCTTCCAACTAACTGTGACGTATCAGATAGATGAAGAAACAACGCATGGTATGACGCAACCTTACACTTTTCCTCCTTCTCCAGTAGTTTTAAATGGCTTAGAGAAATCAGTGATCCTTGGTTCATTTTCCTTCTCTTTTCTTCGATTTTATTTTCTTCCCTTTTCTCTGACCACCACTGAAGAGTGACGTCTTCCTTTCTGCCCATTGGTTGGAGAAGCAGTTGGCTTTATGCTCAACTGCGATTGACGCTTTTTCTTGCATCCATCACTACTAACTCACTAAGAAGTCTTACCAGTTGAGTGTTCTTACAAATAGACAGAAGACCTTATACCCTTTGTTCCCAAATGCACTTCAGTAATTTTTCATCACTCTAGAAAAAAGTTGTGCGTAATGTGCCACTGATTTTTAAACTGCATAAATACTGTATTTTCAATAATCCCTGACTGCTTCTCCAGACAGTATTCCACACACAGATATTGTTCCCTAAGTTACACCATCAATCAGAAACCGACAAGCAGTGAGATGTAATTTACTGAGATCAAACAGCATTTTCCAGACTCTGAAGAAGTGTTTTTCCATAGCAGGGAGCTAGTGGGTGAAAGAGGCACTGATATTTTTGTGAGAAATTTGAACATGTGAACAGGACCGTACCCATTTCATGGGCTTCTTAGAAGTATCTCCTTTTTCGTTACACATATTCTTGGAGGAGAGGACCGCTTTTACTTTTTCCATCTGCAGACAAAACAATATTCTCAGGCTGAGGATTCTCAGTCGAAGATTTACACTCCCGTGATGTTTTTCTTCTGGTGCCTTTCACAGTCCTCAGAGGGTTTGAAGTTTTTTGCCTCTTTATTGTCATCTGTGCGAGTGCTAAGTCAGACAGCAGGCTGTGTCCACTGGGTCCTGCATATTAAAAGAGGGTGGTCCACTCCTCCAGGGTGCTGACTGCCCGTGCTGCAAGTGCTGTCTCATACAAAAGACACATTCTTAACATGTTTCTTCATTGAACTTTCTGTACAATGCCTGACTGCTTTGTTTGGAGCCTGGTGACATGTTTCTGCAGGGTTAGTGGTTGCTACTTGCTAAAGTCAACTCCAGTACATGTTTTAAATAAACAAATAATATTTTACTCCTTTTCTGTGGTTGAAGTGGTAACCACGCTCAGAGACTTGTTTTCTTTCTAAGAATGCATGTTCATAGATTTTTAGGTCCAGAAGGGTACATTAGGATCGTCTAATTTTACTATATAATGGAGACTGTAAAACTTCACCTAATAACTCCTGCAGCAAGCTCATAACTAATTTTTTAAGATCTATGTGAAAACTTATGTATTGTTAACCCAGAAGTTTTACAGGAGAGTAACAGTGAAGAGCAGCAGGTCAAAATAAAAAACTCATTCTGTAGCCAAATTTTCAACACATCAGAAAAGTGTATCTCTAACAAAAATGGTTATTAAATTCCCAAGCACAAATCTGAGATGGTATTACAACACATGCAGTCTATTACCCACACTTCAGTTGTTAACTTCAGCTTTATAGACGTTTTGCCAGTTCATGTATTATCTCACTATTTCAGTCAGACTATTTCATTAATTTTGTTCTGCTAAGTTAACTGCCTGCTTAGACCAGTTATATTGAAAGGGAGGAGATGAGCTAGCAGACCACTGATTTACACTTCCTTTGTTTTTATGAATGATGCAAAGTTCTCAGGAACCTGCTTCTGATATTTGTACGTGAGGTCATACCGTGTTAACAGTATGTTGCATATAGTAATGGGCTGACATTTGCTGAATGGAAAAACACCATCAGTCAACCTCCTTGCAATTTGAAGTGGTTCTCAGTAAAATGGTTTTGCTTCCAAATAAGCACAGCTGCTGCCCTTCCAGCTGAAACTGGAAATAATGGGGAGAAAAAGAAGATAAACCAGTGACAAATGGCAAAAGGATGTTTAGAGGGCTCTCTTAGATCACCAGGTTGTAAGTTTTATGTAATAATTTCTAGGTAGGAGGAGGATTTTGTACTCTCTACTTTGAAAAGATTTTTCCTGTCCTTTTTTCTGCAAGAGCAATGAGAGGAAAAGATGTATGAGAGGTTGTTACCAATCCCTGTGCATGCAAAGCAAACTTTAAAACATGTCTTTTTTGGAAGAAGCCATACTGAGAGGTCTTTGTCTGAGAAGTGGAGGGTTTAGAATGGGTCATGACACGGTATTTCATCTCCAAAAGCCAAATGCCTTATTCCCATTGATTTCTGTGGGACAGTTGCTTTTTTTTTTTTTTTTTAAATGGGGCTTTTTCAGGATTGGATCACTGCCCAGAATTGGATAACACCTTCCACTGATTTTGAATCAGCCCCTCCTGCACTTAGATTTGTGAAATAACCTGCACAAGACCTTGGTTTGAGAGAGCAAGAAGGCATGTGCTTGGATCAGGACTGGTTCTGTTTCCGCTGAGTAAAAGTTGAGCATTTGCTTTTCTGCATGGGAGCATTTTCCAGGTTTAGGACTGTGGCAGAAAAATTTAACACTCAGATAGAAGGATGGAAAGGAGAAATAACCCTGTATTTGCAGACACCTTGGACATTAAAGTAGTTACTTGAATAAAAGCTCCTCTTCGTCATTATTATGTGAAATGTTGAGATAATTATTCTGTGTGTCTGTGCCCATAGTTGGAGGAGATAGCTTGCATTTAAAATGTTGCTCTAGTTGCTGAATGCATTTGAATTTTTACTTTCCTATCTTAAGTGTCAGGATAATTGGAAACAGTAGTGGTACACTGGAGCAGTGCTGTATTTGCAGCTTGAACATAAAGCAGGAGCATGAAACTCTACCCAGACACAAATAAGAAAAATTGATGTAAGGTGTTCATTTTGATGCAGAAAGGTCAACAGTTTTGTCTAAATCAGCAAACACCATTTTATGAAGGGGAACATTTCTGGTAATAGGGTTTTTTTGTCAGCAGAACAGCTTCCAAAACACTTTTTCTCAGTCCTTTCTAGAAGCTAAATAACTGGTATCCTGAGTTTTACCGTTGTGGAAATCAAGGCAGCACAGACTTTTCCAGAGTCTGCTTTTAAAGACTCACCCTTGCATCTCTCTACTTGGATGCTGTATGGAGAACAGTGCTGAGCCACTGGAGAAGCCCACCCAAACTGGAGCAGCTCTGTAAAGAGCCTCTTCTAGTGGTTTCACAATCAAGGGCATGTTGGAAACAGTCTCCCTGCTTAAGACAAAAAGGTTCATTTTGGCAAAAGCATTGCTGGAATGCGAGGAGTGTCATGTGCACTAGAAACGGGCATGAGAGGCTGGATGCTTCTTTCAGACTGGGTTACTGTGCACCGAAGTTATGGCCCTTTCTTGAGGTTTCCTACATATAGTATTTTTGCATGAACCTGTGCCCTTGAAATGCCACGCGAGATAAAGAGTAACACTGCAGAGCCATGGGTGGCACCTGGCTGTAGGATCAGAGAGGTCAAGGAGTCCTGATATGCAAAAGGTCTCTGGGACCATGTCCTCAGACCTGAACTGCTTTCTGCAAGCGTTCAAGCTACGCAGATG